TCGGGTTGATTATCATCAGAAGCCTGTTTCTCCCTGGTGGTATTGTTCACTGCATAGGCCTGTCTATTGTTTGGCTCTGGTCTATTTTTAGGAGCTCTGGCGGCGTTGTGCCTAAGGCATTTGACTGCTAATCAGAAGGCTGGGAGTTCAAATCCACCAGCCACTCCTCGGAAGGAAGATCAGGCAATCTACTTCTGTAGAAATACTGCTTCGGAAACCCAAGGAGCGGTCACTATGAGTTGACTCCACTGCAGTGAGTTTGGTTTTGGTTTTATTGCTTGGCTGAGATGTGATCCCTGGGGTGGGCTCCATGGAAGGGTGTCTCGGGGATTCCACCAAGGGAGCATTTTTAAAATTATCTCTTATATCCCAAATCTTGCAGTGAAAAAAAGAAAACCTTTGCGATCACTCCCATTCCCTTTTAGCTGAGGAAACTGAGGCTCAGGGAGGACCCCCCCCCATGCCCTGCACCCATCTCTCTTCTTGTTCACCATCCCTACACCCCAAGGTCAAGGCTCTCACACTCAAAGCAAAATGGATCTTAGAAATATTTCAGGAAAATTAGGAATTACTGAGTGCTTCATTAAGAGAATATGGGCAAAATACCTGCTACCACTGTCAACCATTCGGAGGGGGATCTATGTAGGAGATCCTGGATAGAGAGGGAGAACAATGTGGAACAAAACTCAAAATCATTTTTAAAAAAGGATGGGGGAGGACTAGGTTTGCTGGTCTGATAGAGCCTGGTGGAACTACTGAGACTATGGCCCCTAGCTGCCCTTCAGATCTGGAATTGAACCTACACCTGTGGCTTCCAGCCAAACAAAAGACAGGAATATGAGTTGAACATTTACCTGAGGTAGATACATTCCTTGGAGAAAACAATCATGGGAGAAAGAAGGGCTGTTTATGCACAGGGAGACAGCTCAGGGAGCAAGAGTGCATGGAGGGATGGACATAGGGAAGAGGTAACTATCAGGAGGAAGTGGGAGGGGAGCTGTTGCATTGTGGTAAATTGTAGTCAATGTCATGAGACAACATGTGTGTGAACTGCTGTATGGAAAGTGAATTTGCTCTGTCAACTTTCACCCAAATCACAATTTAAAAAAAAAAAAGAGAGAGAGAGAGAGAGAATATGGGCAAAACAAACAAAAGAATGACACCCCACTACACACAGTTCTGTTTATACACATGCCCCAAAGCCTCTGAGCCCAGTGACAGTATCTGCTCCATTTCTGTGAGTACATACAAGGCAACAGACACACATTGTCCACTCATTCCTCAGCCAGCCGCTGAGTGCTCAGGGGGGGTCAGGTGCTGGGGACACTCACATAAAACACAAAAAAACCCCACAAGACACCACTACTAATTTTATTTAGGCTTTTGTGCATACATTATGCATTTTTAAATAAAGATGGTGTTTTCTGGAAATGAGCATTTTGTCAGTGTTAGATCCAGGAGACAGAATGTCACAATGATGTTACGGGCAACCCTGTCTTCAGGTTGCATTTGTTGTAGCACAGTGGTTAAAGCACTCAGCTGCTAACCTAAAGGTCAGTGGTTTGAACCCACCAGCCGCTGCTGGGGAGAAAGATGAGGTGGTGTGTTCCTTAGAGACTGAGTCTTGGAAACCTTGTGGGGCAGTTCCACTCTGTCCTCTAGGGGTGCTGTGAGCCAGAATTGACTCCACCACAGTGGGTTGTTTTTTTTTTTCCTGGTTAGCTACCACTGAATTGGCCCCAAACTGACCTGGACCCCATGCCCAAGAGAATGAAACCCTGTGCACACCGTCCCCATGATCATTTGCTGCTTGACCGTTTTCATGGGCTGATTTTGGAGGTAAGTCACCAGCCCTTTCTCCCTGGTCTGTTTTAGCTGAGTTGATGGCATGAACCTATCTCTCTATTTATCTGTCAGGATACTGGGTGGTGCACATGGTTAACGGTTAATGCTTTCAGCTGCTAATCCAGAGGCTGGAGGTTCAATACTGCCCAGACGCACCTTGGAAGAAAGGCCTGGCCATCTACTTCTAGGAATCACCAGTGAGAACCCCGACCCACAGGGGGGCGCCATGACTCAGAACACCCTCCACAGCAGGGGGTGGGTGTGCACAGAGCCCAGGGTGGCCCCATCCTGTTGCACTGCATGTGGGATTGTGGCCTCAGGGTGTGGGTGTAGCCTGCAGTGGGTTTTATTAAAAACTTGGGCCTGACAGTGGGGCACAATCATTCCTACCCGGAGGCCCACAGGGTCTCTACCGACAGGTGAAGTCAGACCTCAGGCCTGTCACCTGCAGGCGGATGTGTGTCTGGGGGGGGGGCGAAGTCCGGGGCTGGAGCAGGCTGGTGTGCCCAGATTTCCAATGCTCCTACTCCACCTGCATCAGGAGAGGATTGAAACCCGAGCCCCATGCAGAAGAGGTGATACCATGGAAACAACCTGTGGGTTCTGTGGCTACCAGGGCGCTGGCGGCTGTGTGGTAGAAGCCAGGGCATTTGACCCCCGCCCTCTCTCGGCTGGCCAGGGATAGCCTCCCACAAAGACCTGGGCCCCAGCCAGGTACCTGGGGTCCAAGGCCCTTCGGCGCACCTGGGTCAGCTACCAGGAACCTGTCACAGAGGGCGGGGCCCTTGTGGAATTTTGAAAACTGGGGCATGTGGAAGGCTCCTAACGCGGGTCGTGGGCGCAGCGCCTGTTCCTGGTAGCAGTGCTCCTCCTTCTCGGTTTATCCCCTGGGATTCTGTCGTTTGGGAGACGCCGGGCCTCAGCCCTGTAAAGTGGACCCAGACCCGGAGTGAAGGTAACGACTTTGGGGGACGCCTACTTTGTGCCCCCGGGCCCCGGGAAGCCGGGTGTTCCCTTTCTCCAGTTGCTCAAGCAGCCACCTGCCTTGCGTCCCCCACCCACTCGCGCTCGGTAGCGTTCCCAGTCCCCTCCGGGCGGTTTTCCATCTGGGAGGCCTGGGCTGGCTCGAGGTCTGCAAAGCGCGGCCCTACTGTGGGCAGTAGCGGTAACTGCCCCCAATTCATTGCAGGCTGCAGGAGCGCTCCTCCCTCCGGTGGTGCCCAGGGCTGATGCTGCAGTGGGGAATCCCCTCCCTGCCCTTCCGACCAGGCCAGGAAACCCTTGCCCACATCTGACTCCCTTTGCCCAGAACCGTCCCCCGGCTCCTCGGGGGCGCACCCCACCCCGGCCACCCGCTGTCCAGCGCTCGGAGGGCGCCCCTCACACCCTGCAACACTGACAATCCGCCGTCCGCTCCTACCCGTCGACCCTTTATCCCGGGACGCGTCCTCTCTCCGTTGCATGCAGGGGACGCTCGGATCTGTGTCACTGCCTCCCGGAGATGTCCCCAAGCTTTTCACCCCTCGTCAGCGCCCCAAGCGGTGCAGCTGTGGCCCACCTCCACCTTCAGGGATCGCAGCAATCGTAGAACACCCCTTCCTCCCCGGTTTCCACTCTCTCTTCTCCCTGGCCGCCGCCCCAGAGTGGCGCAGCCCGCACCCTGCACCCCCAGCCCGGCTCGCTGGCGCACCAGCCCCGCGGGGCCCGCCGGGCAGCTCTGGAACCTCCACTCCCTGAGCAGTCCCGGGGCGCTCCCCACCCTCACCCCGCTCGCGACGGGCGCGGGGTCCCCGGAGCGCGCTCCTCTTCCCCTTTCTAGCCCCCCCCCCCCACTTGGGGCGGCGGGGTCCCGGGGGAGCCCTTCAGCCCAAGCCGCTCTCCTTTGTGCGCTTGGAGAGCACGTTGCGTCAAGGCGAGCCGCCGAGCCCCGCGTTCCCCCGCCCGCGCCCCATTAACCCGAGGCAGGGGGGGCCGCAGGGAGGG